ATTAGCCTGCTAAAGAACTGACAGGGAAGTATGGCAGAAATGTCATTTTGAATAAAGGCAATGGTCTTCTTGTCAGAAATCATGCCCTTTATTACAATTAAGTGTTTGTCACATACTGTTTTAGTCAAGTGACAAAGGCTTTATTTCTCAATAAGTCTAAAAACAAAGTGTATCCTAGAGCTAAACTTCACCAGAGAGATAAGTTTTCTTATCAGTTCCAATTCATTTTAAAAACAGAGGTGATCTGCCAAATTATTGCAGGATAACAGTGCTGGAATAGGAAAGACTGTGGAGCCCCTTGCTCTTGTCTGCACCATTTTTCCAGTGTAAATGTCATATACTTCTGTCTGCAGATTGCCCTGTTAGGGAAGACATGCATGTCTATCAATAAACTGCACATTTTCCAAAATATCCCTTTTGCATGTTATAAGTAATTCATATGGTGCTGATGTAATGTGAGAATTGTCTTCTCTGTGGCATTATGGCTAACATAAGCTTAAGAGGAATGGCCAGGAAGCAGAATAGACGTTTCCACTGGCCATTTTGATCTAAGGCCCCTGCAAGGCTCTCTGCTGAACAGGGGCATTTACAGGGAGGGTAAAAAAATGCAAGTTGGTGGTCACAACCATGAGATCAAAGCTATCTTGGGCCTTCAATCGTGCAATCATGGCTGCTATCTTGGTTGTTTTTGACGCCCACCCACTCCATGGATGCTCCTACTGCTGAACACGGGGCTTTGTCATCTCCCTGCTCTCCGCAAGGCATTACTGCTTATTTTATGCAACCCAAGAGAATAGCAAAAGAATCAGATAGAAAGGATCTGTCTCAAAAAGAAAAGATGAGAATTACTATACTACAAGTGCAAAATCCTATGGCATGCTAGTAATGCAACTTCTGTGCCTTCCTTAATGTCACATAAAATCATACAATTGTTGTTGTTTTTATGCCATATTCACACCAAATAGCTCAAATGACAACCATTAATGTAGGCTGTGTTAATGTTGACTCTATTCAGGCACCTGAAGGTACAGTCCTATGTAAATTTTTCATAACTAATCTCATTGAGTTTAACATGGCATTATTAGATAAAAATGTATATGAGGGGGGACCCAAAACAAACCAGAATTATCTTCTGGAGGGCGGGCCCCTTGTAGTACAGGCTTCCCCTGCTAGGTGAGTGTTCTAGGAACCATCTGCATCAGGGTACCGGCTGGGTTGTTGTGAGAGGCTGCGTTCAGCTTCAGCGAGTTTTTTTTAGAGACTCTTTCAATGCATCTGCCTATTTCATGATAGGTGATTCATGCCTGTCTTGCTCATGCCTGAACAAAGAGACAATTGCTTGACTGTGTGCCGTGCTTTGAAGGAGCAGTTGGAGGCTGACCCTGACACCTGCAGACACCGCGCTGAGTGATCAGCAGTTTTTAACCAAAAACGGCATGACCCTTGTGCCCCACCCTCCCTAAGCACCCGATCTCACCCTGTGCAACTTTTTCTTGTTTCCCCGGATGAAAAAAGTCCTCAAAGGGAAACGTTTTGCCGATGTGGAGGAGGTGAAACAAAAAACAGCAGAAGCACTAAAAGGCATGAAAATTGACGAGTTCAAAACCTGTTTTGAGCAGTGGAAAAAACATCTCGATAGGTGTATTGCATCAAACGGAGAGTACTTTGAAGGTGACTGAAGTCTGAACATGTAAAAATAAATACACAATTTTTTATAAATAAATTCCGGGTTTTTTTGGGTCCCCCCTCGTACAGTTGGAGCCTTAATCTAGGCCAGTTCATTCTGATACAGCTAAAATCTTTTAGAATGTTAATTTTTTATTCAAAGCCCTTCAGGATGTTCAAGTTTTACATGTAATCAGCAGTAATTTGAATTCAGATTTAGACCTCTGTCTATATATTAATCAAGATGAATTAAAGGTCATAATCCTATCAGGAATGATAAACAATTCAAAACAGGAAGATCCTGTCAAGGAATATTTGCTATGCTCCCATTTTTGGCATAGTCCTTCTCAACTCCTGAAGCTTCTTTAAAAACTCTCCAAAGTTTTAGTAACATCAATATTTTATTTTAACTTTGATTTAGAATGCCAGAGTATAGCTTATAAGCATGGGGATATGTATAGCCATCCACACCTTTGTTTTCCCCCTTCTTCTCTTGAGTCTATGTTCATAATCTGCCCAAAGTGCAACAAAGATAATAGCCACAATTCTGCTCTCCTTCACATACTGGCTGAACATGCAACACAGGGTGATCAGTCACATTTTGCCAAAAAGAAAAAAAAAAGCACAAATTGCCCCCAAATTTAAATGTGATATGCATTCAGAATATAACAACGTTCTTATGAGTTAATCATGATGATGTGCATGTGCACATATTTTGGAAGAATATCTTCATTAGGGAAACACATATATTCTCACTGTAAATTAATCTGTGCTTAATGAGTGTGTCTGCAAAACCATGCAAATGCTTACGCAGCTTCAGCACAATTAAGTCAGATAACAACACCATGTAAATCCTGTAATAAAAAGAGCACGGCAGAGAGCTGTGGTGTTTATATTAGAGAACTGAAGTGCTGTTATGGTCTGTCTGTTGTATCTGTATTTCTGGGTTGCATTTATTTCTGGCAATTAGAGCCCAGCACTTTCTGTGTGGTTTCACCACATTACCATCCCTATTTGTATTTTGGCTTTCAAAAAAGAGGGCATGAACCATGCAAAAGGAGGTCAAAAGAAGAGCAGATTTAGGGACTATTTTGAGGAGGATGGTAGAGGTTTTGGGGTACCAAAGTCAGATCTTAAATTTATATGCCTTTGTGAGTGGGTGTGGATTTTGGGGCATATAACTTTAATAAATAAAAATAATTATATATAAATCTCTCCCTCCAACCTCAGAGAGAAGTATCTGAATAGTCCTATGGCTACCAGACTGTATACTAAATTACATTAAAAAAATAAAAACCAACAAATCAATAATATCCCATCCTTTTGTGAAGCACCAAACATATCAACACCAGGACAGCCATTGAAATATCAGGCTGAGTATCAGAAAAGAGGACTACTACAGAGTACAGCTGGACAAAGAAAAAGAGGATTTATACCGTAACAACAACAACAACAACAAAAAATGAAGACAGACAGGAAAAGGATGTGAAATTAAGAGCTATTGAAAATTCATCACATAGGTCTGGCTCTTTGAAAAGCCTTTAGCAATTGCAGCAATTGATTTTTCATGCTAACATCAACCATAACAACACTGACAACAACAGGATCACATACCAAGTTATTATTAACTGGATGAAATGTAGCAACTTTTTCTCTCCTTGGCAGGTTGAACAGGTTTTGTTGCCTCTTCCAGAACAGGTGCTGCACCTTTTAGATATAAAAATGGAGCCTGCGTATTTATTGATTTATTTTAAATGCTAAATATAAAGCTAAATATAAAATGCCTATTTCTTTAAAAAAATCTCTAGATGTGTGCATACATGTACACATATGCTTAAAAGAATGTGACTTCTATTGTTAGCAAATTCCACTGAAAGTAAAATCCTGTTTGGTTGAAATATCAAAGAGACATATAGGAAAACCAGAAGAAAGACTAAAGATGCAGGAGATTTGAGATGAAATGGCATACACTATTTGAAATCAACCAGACAGTAGTGAGAGTGGATCCTTAATTGGAACAGGTATTGATACTAGTAAGGAGAATTTGTGTATTATTTATTGAGTAGCATTTTTCCAATCTAACTCCCAGTGTTTGCTAATTGCTTCAGTGGAGTAAGCATTTAATTTAGGCCAGGAAGATGAGGAAAAATTCATTCTCCCCACCTTTTGACATTTAAAGAGACAATCCATCAGAGGAGGAGGAGGAGGAAGAGGAGGAGGAAAAGTAAATATGGATCTCCCTTCTCTCATTTAGCTTGGCCTTAAGATGAGCCATACTTCTCAGATAATTTGATCTACATAACCTACCAATGCATGTTGTTACCCAAGCTGTTCTGAGGATATTTGTAAAATCTGACACTATCATGGTTTATACAACTTTATTAACCCTGGAATTATGGGAAACGGAGAAGGAGAGGAAGAATTAAATGTAGCATGGTTGATATAGGTCCACTGTGTGACATTACCATTCTGACTACTAAGATAAAAGTTTAGGAGCTAAAGAGATAAAATCTTGTTTGCTTCTTAATTAACTCTGACTCAACAGCTAATTGACTAAACTGTGATTTATGCCAGCAGTATTGAGATCATTTGAAAACAAAGATGGTAGCACAGGAAATTAATATGAACATCTGCACACCATGGCTATTTCCAGATTCATCTGTGGAAGATTAGGTGACCCTTTCAAGGAATGTATTATCCTGTCTATAAGAGTTGCAGATGGCATATGTTTATTGTTGGCAAATGTATAATGCATCAATGTGATGCAGATTAGCAGCGATTACCTTCTGATTTATTAAAGCATTTTAAGGCGTCGTTAGTCCCCAAAGATCCCCATTTTCAAATTATTGCCTCGATTATCTATTCTTTGTTATTTTAAGCTTAATGGAGCCTTATAAAACAGTTTAGAAGAACTGAGAGGTATTTTGCATTCCTTAAAGATCATGGGAACACCAAGTATTTTAGCAGCTGGAGAAACTAAAAGATAATAATTTTGTGAGCTGCACATAACCTTGAATAAATAGATGTCAGGTGAAAACAAATGTTGGTAGAAAAGTGGGAAACCTAAAATCAGTAGGATAAAAAGTTTCACCTATCATGCTGAGATTTGGCTCTCCCCCCACAAGATAATTATTATTGAACATGATATCTTGATCTTTCCTAATATGATTTAAGAAGTTATACCCATTTTCAATTGAGTTCTATTTGCACTGGAAAAAATAATAATTCAATTCCTCGTGCTTTATGGAGACAGCATGGCGTTGTTATTAGAGAATCAACTGATAAAATAGGAGAAAAAGGTAATAGCATTTTGCAGAGAAATGATGTTTCTTTTCTTAGCTCTTTTCTTCTTATTTGCCTTGCTTCTGTACCTGCACGTGCAGGGGGATTCTACTGGGTTCAACAGAATACATTCACTCTCCTCCTCTTCCTCCTCCTCTGCTTTATTTGCCAATATAACTGTAGGGGGAAGTAGGGCTGCTGGGTTCCCTACTTTGTTTGGATGTGTTGAAATATATCTCATGGAAAATGAGATTGAAGAAAGCTTCTAGCCACCACTAATATCTTCAACCTGGCAGAAAACTCATGGCAAACATGTATAGCCCATTCAGAGGGCTTTTCCCTCAGGAACTGGGACAATATCTTTTCTTCATGGTTGACTTCCCTTCTGGTCTTAGCTGAAGAGACAGGAGTCTTCCTTTTTTGTCTCCAAGTTGTGATTTATCTTTTCTCCAATCTCCTATGAAATACATGGGGTTGAATGTTCCTGGCTAAAGCCTAGATAGTTTATGAGAAATAGCAATGCTTCACTCAGGGCACTTTTGGAAGAAAACCAAATCTCATTTGAACTACTTGATCATAGTGTATAATCCTTCAGCCATCATGTTGTCGTTGTATGTTTTCTAAAAATGCAGGTTGATGCAGTAACTAGGAAGAAAGTCTTATGAACACTTCAAAATTCTCAGAATAGAAGCTCTCCAATCCTAATGAAAAGCCATCCATACTCCACCTCCACAGTCTGGCCTGAAAGAAAACATCTCCTTCACTGCTTTAGTGGAGCTAAACCTCTCTGTCATATTACTGTCCCTCTAGATGATGGTGGTAGTAATGAGGTAACTGCTACTGAGAAATCTGTGAAGAGCAGCTACAATGGAAGAGAAAGAAAAACCTGATGTTTATGTGCATATCTTCTATTCTGGGAAAGGGACAATGGACAATGAAGCAATATTATTCTAAAGTATGACTCTTCAGATATAAAGACATACATTTCTCTATTGCCAGAAATAATCTCAGATGTTTTAATTAAAATAATGACTGTGTTTCTTTCTTATGTGGAAATGAGAGCTGGGCACATCACAAGAAACATAAAAGTATGCTGAATGCAGTAAAACAAATGTGGTAGTATAAGATTGTTGGGTCAAGAATGAATGAGTGATTTAACACTAACAGCAGTATCGCAGAAGTACATTTAAGGGTTTATAAAGCAATCCTGAACTGAAGCCTAAGCTGCTTGTCTCCCAGGCGTTTCTTAAGCCAAGCTCAGAAATTCCAGTCTGGATTGCTATGGGTTGGAATTGAGGCCAGACTGGCACTCAGTCTAGACTATGGCCAACATTCTGCTGCTTCTTGCCTGGAAGATATAAGGTTTAAATGCAGCATGAGCTTCTTGGGTGGACGATAGTTAATTGACTTAACAGACCATCGCTGGATCAACCATAATATTCTTTAAAAAAAACAAAACAGTAACAGTCAGCTAGCAGAGAAGGTAGCAGCCCAACAGCCAAGAATGAAATCACTGCACAGGGCAATGACCGCTTGCTAGAAGGGAGGGGGTGTGGCATACCAGGCACTGCAGACAATCAGAGAAGGGGCTGCTGTTACAACAGAACAAAATGCTGGAGAACATCCACTCTGCAAAGTTTTAAATGGCTCGAGTTGGAAAACAGCAGCTTCGAATCAAAGCTGGGGTGCATTTGCAGTGGGTTGGGAGTGGGAGGACAACTATATCATCTGTTCCTGAACTCAGAAAGCAGTGAGTGGCCTGTGTTGGCACTGGGCTAAGCAGAAGCTGAAGAACTCTCTGTAGAGAAGCTAAATGGGGATTTAATTGCAAAACAAATACACAAATGGATCAAGAGGAAGAGGATGATGAAGGAAGTTGAGGTTGAATGAGTTGGTCAGATCCTCAAGAAGAGAGAGGTGAGAATTTTAAAAAACAAAAGGCAGTATATGGAAGTTTTGGAAGCAACGATGGCTAAGAGAGACAGAAACGCGTGAAGGGATACAATGAATAATGCTGGTCTAAACTAGATTTTGGTTTCCTTTCCTTTTTTTCTTATTTCTTCCCTTTATTTTGCTTAGTATTTCTTTTTTTCTTCACTTTGTATAATATTGCTAACCCTGAAAGGGAATAGTATGATGGATTCATGTATATGAATGTATGTATAAAATGAGTGCAACCACCATTGTCATCATTACCATTATTTTCATCATTATCACTTTCTCAAAGTTCTTACCTTTTGCGACCTGTACCTGAGCACATCTGGCACCGTTTATGACATTTTAAATGTTTGGCTTTGGCTTTTCTGGCTCCATTACATGTGACACACCTCATCTATGGGGACACAAAATAGCTAACCCAACATCAGGATGAAGAAAGCTGGAATAACAGAATAGTTAAGGCACATTTTTATTTGGTTTGTGATGAAGCCCTTTTAGCTTGGTCTGTAATTCTCTTCAAACAGAAAACTAGATGTACAGAATGGTGCCCCTAGCTTTGAACCACCTCTATTTTTTTTTTCCTTATGTAGTGTTTTTGTACGTGGAGTATTTGTGTTCAGAAAAGAAATTAATATGAGTTCATTCCACCTGGAGAAAACAATGTGTTACATGCAACTGTCCTGTTTTAGATAGATAAGCATTACGTTGCTTAGCAATGCTGTTGAACAGGAAGCCTGCGTAATGCCTCTTTTAGCACCAAAGAGTAATAAAAACACCATCAGTACTCACCCTGCCTCCACCGTGGCATCCACTACATTTGTATCGGCCCCAGCCATGGCATTTATGACATTCCTGAAATAGAAATAACTCACCTACATACATTCACTTAAAACAGATTACATACTGTATATGGTAATACCTGAATTAGGCAAGGATAACTGTCAACCTAGACAGTTATTCTTACCTAATTCAGGTACTAGCACACATCTATTCTATTATATATTAATTATGGCAAAGGAAGAAAAGCTTTCTTCATGTTACAAAAGACTAGCAGCTATAGGGATTTCTAATAACATAGTATAAGGAAACATGGACTGAAAGGTCATATTTTACTGACTTTTTTTAAAATTAGGGAAGTGCAGTGCACATTTTATCTTGCTCCATAACAGCAGATTCTATTTATGTTTTGAAATCACTGTAAACAGAGAAGAAGGCCAGTCATGATCAGCCCCACTTCAGGTCTTCATTGAGGCAGAGCAATATGCCTCCACAACATGAAATGCATCACTAAGGCAATTCATACTCTCAATGTTTTTATATTATTAGCAGTTTTGAGATGTGGTAACTGGTAATCTAGTCCATACCTTCTCTATATTATTAAAAGGCATTATGTGAAACCCTCAACTGACCAAATCCACGATGCTGTGAAAGCTCTGGAAACCAAAACCTATGAGGAATGGTTAAAGGACCTCGTATCGATCCTTTAGTCTACAGAAAAGACTACTAAAGGGAAATACAATAGTCTTCAAATGTATGATGGGCTGTCACACAGAACAGGAAGTAGGCCTGTTTTCTATTGCCCCAGTGGACAGTACCAGGACAGATTAGCTAATTCCACAAGGAATTAGGTTCAGGCTAGACGTGAAGAGGGTCTCCTTGACTTTGTTAGCTGCTAGCTGTGGAACAGGCTGCCACATGAAGTGGTGAGTTTTCCTTTGCTGGAGGTCATAAAAAAAAACCTGGATAGACATAGTCAGAAATGTTTTAGTGGATCTTGCACTGAGCAGGAGATTGTATTAAACAATCCCTACAGTCCCTTCTGCTCCATGATTCTATGAAATAAATCTTAAAACATGTTTTCTGTATTTATGATGAACAATTCAGTTAATTAATCAAGGATATAAGAGTTATCAGAATTTCTGAGTGTGGAATAGCTTATTTTAGTAGAATGGATCTGGAGGGAAATGGACATGGAAGAAAAAGAAAGAAATTAAAGAAACTAGAGTGAATACGGAAGAGACTGCAGGAAAAGAAAGTATAAGTCTGTCATGAAAAAGTAATAGAAGATAGATTATTCTCGCAATAGAATTAATGTGAGTGTAAGATAAGAAGTAGAAGCTGCTTAGAACACAGTGAAAATTATTATGTTAGGGAGTGCTAAAAAGAGTAAAGAATGGTTAAGATTAAAAGAGGCAGAGAAAACAGTGATTGTGAAGGAAACAAAAGATGTGTTGAAAATGGGAGAAGAGGGCTAAATAAGGGCCCCCCAGCAGAGTGAATGGAATTAAAAATAAAAATGTAAAATGATTTGGGGTGAAACTGAAATGAGGGATTGATGGAAAGAGCATTTTAAATATTGGTATGGGAATTATAGTGATTTATCAAAGATTGGAATTGAAACTAATGCTGTAAATATTAGTGTTCAAGAAAAAATGATCGGAATGAAGTCATAAATGGGTGAGAATGTTGAAAAATGGTGAGCAATGGGAGAAATATTAAAATATGCCTGTGGTTTGTTTATTGAATGGAGCTGACATTTAATGTGTGTGTGAAAACTGTTTTTGTGCCTGACAACTGGAAGAATGCCAATTTTGTACCCTTATACAAAGGGAAAGGTAGCAAGAGTAAATACAAATACCACAGCCAGATTAGTTTGTTAAGCATTCCTAAGAATATATTTGGCAGAATTCTGATTGAAAGTGCATGAGTAAAATGTTGGTGGCAATGAGTAAAATGCTAAAAGTACAAGGTGACTTTATGGTGGGCAGATGTATATAATCCAGATTTTTGTTCTCCAGGCAGTCACTTTTGTTGATTTAGAGGAAGTGCACAATACAGGTGGTCCTTGTTTAACACTTGTTCAGCAACCATTCAAACTTATGATAGCACCGAATGAGTGATAGTTACAACCGGTCCTCAGAGTTCCGGCCATCTCAGTGAGCCGCAGTCACATGATTGTGATTTCGCAAGTAAAGTCAATGGGGAAGCCAGCAGAAAGTCAGAAGTCATGGTCATGTGAGGTCCTCACTTAACAACCCACGCAGTCCTTGCTTAACGATGGCAACTAGGACTGCCAGAACTGCCATGGCTAAGCAGAGCAGTCACATGATGTTGGAGTACCTGATAAATGAATAAGCTTGAGCTGTGGAATGTTTTGCACAAATAAGCTTTTGAAGGATGGTCCCTGAAAGCTGTAGGAGCAATATATGATGGAGTGAAACATGTGTGAGAACAAAATGGAATGCTTTAGCAAATGACTTGACACTGCACAGCACTGATCTTCTAGTGATCCAGAGGAAAGAGTGGGAAGGATTGCTAAATATCCCAGATTGAAGGCAGATCTTACCACAGGTATAGGGAACTCTTCCTGTTCAAGGACTAGATGGCTTCCCAGGACACAGATTACATCAATGGGCAGGACTCTCCATCTGTAAAACCCCACCCAAAGCTTAGGCCCCTAAGCAAAATCCAATGCCTTAGACCAGGATACTCAGTTTCTCGAAGGACGGAAAGAAGGAAGTCGTTTTCTTCATAATGAAGGCAAAAATTGATGGCTCCCTTCTTTTCACTGCACCAAAGAACTTTTCTCATGAAAATAGACGCAACTTCACCTTAATGAGCCAGATGAGAAGATCTACTGGGCCACATCCAGCTACAACATATAGTTTCCCATCACTATTTTAAATGCAAGAGGCAAGAAGGCTAAATAGTGTTTCATTACTTGTACCGCAATTGCAACTAGTTTAAATTTCCTTGACATTAGTCAACATATGGTTTTAACAAAGGCAGGGGGGAGGTGTTTTGTTTTGTTTTGTTTTGTTGTTTTGATGAAATTACCTTGAGTAAAGAAGAATGCGGAACACGAAACTTTTTTGTGTCTTCCTGAAACATTTGTGGAACCTGGACTCTAATATCCCAAGGTCGAGGAGATACACCATTTTGGGGACCATCTACCAAAGTATCTGATAAGATAAAACAAATAGATGCTATCCGTACTGTATGGAGGCAACAATGCAATGTAACATTAAGTACATTTAAATCCATTGCAATCAATTAAACTAACATTTTAGAGAAGTGCATATTTGAATTATTTTTATTCCCACCAGATATTCCTATCAAATTTCATATCTATTGTGGCTGATCCATAGAATTGCATTTATTTTAACACATTATTACATTCATTTATTGCAGGTCCCTTATCTATACTCTTGAGAGTATAGATGTGGGACCTGCAATAAAATTTTGCAGTCTATTCAGCAGGATTATATCATTTTAGCCAGGATATTGGACTGTTAGGGAGCCAGCTTGGCATAGTGGTTAAGGCATCAGGCTAGAAACCAAGAGACCGTGAGTTCTAGTCCCGCCTTAGGCCCACAGCCAGCTGGGTGACCTTGGGCCAGTTGCTGTCTCTCTCAGCCTGAGGAAGAAGGCAGTGGCAAACCAGTTCTGAAATCTTGCCAAGAAAACTGCAGGGACTTGTCCAGAAGTCAACACTGACTCAAAGGCACCCAAAAAAAAAAAAAAAAAGGAGGGGGGATGTATACAGTATTTATTGCTAGTGATGGACAGTAAAGCTTGCCTGAAATTTTCCTGTCTTTGAGTACAACACATGCTGACTGGGGAGGGATGTGGGAAGGGTCATATGTTGCTCTGTCTCAGGCAACAAAATTATTTGTGCCAGCTGTCATTTATATTGCTTTCCTCCTTCTCCCACTTCCAAGTTACTTGCCAGGCTGTTGCCATCAGCCACTGAAGAGAGGAAGAAAAGGCAGAAACAAAAGGGTGGATAAATCCTCTCATTTCTGTGCTGTTTGTAACTTTTCTTACCGATGTAGATCTGAGAGAGAAAACAAGATTTCTGATAACAAGTAGGAGCAGAGATTGATAAATGATGGAAAACCTGTCTCTGCTGAATATATTTTGCAAAGAATTCACCACAGGTTCCAACCTGGATTCAAAGACAAGTTCAACCATTTCTTTTTATGCTTATTGCATCACATCAATTATGACCATTAAAAAATATTTCACAAGTGGTATATTCCCATTTTATTTAGAATCAAGGGAACCACTACAATACTGTACTTTTTTTTAAATCAAATATTGACAGGCTTTCTTGAAAGTCTTTTTAAAAAATAGGAAGAGAATTTGTGATCTGAATTTGATGAATCAGCTTGGAAGTTGTTACGGCATAAAATTCTCTCTACATCCATTTTAGTGAGTCATCTTGAATTGGCCATAAAAATAATTCATAGATGGTATTATACTGCACAGAATTACATTTTATTGATCAAAACTTTTCTTGATTGTATTACAGGAGTTACAAGCAAACTGATACATATTGCAGTCTCTCCTAGCCCTTTTAGATATTCGTTTGGGTTAAAGGGTTTTAAGGAAATTGGGAAAAAATATTTAACAAACTTTAGTAATTAATCTTCCTACAGGTATGATTTCCATGTTTCCCCAAACTTATAAATCAGTGCAAACTTATAAATCAGTGCAAACTTATAAATCAGTGCAACAGAAGAGACTGAATCAGTATTTTTTCTGTTAGCTCCCAGATTTATGACTGGAAAATACTGCAATATTTTCTTTGAATCAATGGCATTTTGCAACGGGAAATTGTATTCGCTACAAAAATAACACAATAGCAAAGAGTCCTGAAGAACTCTTTTGTTAAGAATTGTTTCATTCATTTTTTTACTCCATTTTTAGAGATAATTAGAAATAATAATAATAAAAAATAAATAATTAGAATATTTTCTAAAAGATTACGTTCAGCTACAGAATTTTTCAGGGATAGAATTACTGAATGGAGAAGTTTAACAAGTTTAATGTCTTCTTAAAATTACATCCATCAATGCATAACTATGTTTTAATGCTCCCAAGTGTTGTAGGTGTGAATTTCTTTTCTGTTAATGTTTTCTTTTTCCCTCCTCATTTTAATCATTGTTAAAATTATTTTTGATGTACCTGTATTTCTAGTTCACTTTTAGAAATAGAGAAGAAGCAAGTGGTTAAAAAAGTAGGAGGAGAAGAGGATGAAATTTTGCCTGCAAGTGATAACTGAGGATCAGAAGGAAATGGCCCTGATTAGTCATTTTCTGCTTCTTCCTCTTTCTATTGGGGGAGGGAAAACCAACCTTATTGACTGGCAGGTCTTACAGTGCCTGCCTTTTCCTTTTAGACATTTATTTATTTATCAAATTTGTCACTCCCCATCTGCCTGAAGTGACTCTGGGCATTTTACAGTAGAGATAACATTCATTAAAATGCCATATAAAAACAGTCCTAATAATAAATAGCTTCCAAGAAGGATGGAGAGTTGGCAAATAATTCAAGGGAGTATTGTCAGGAGGCTAACCACTCCCAGGGATGTTAGAGCCCATATCGCCCCATGCACTTTGACAGAGCCAGGTCTTTAATTCTTTAATATTTAGAGCATTTTTTTTTCTGTTTGGCTGGCTGGCCTCCTATCTAAACATCTCCCTGCCTTGTGGCTGGAAAGGTGTAGCATATAAATGTATCCTGTCTTTCCTCTGAGAGCTCAAGGCAGAGGGAATGAAGCCCTTGCTCATTTTACCTGCACCAACAGCAACCATATGAAGAGATGGGTGGAGTTAAGAAAAGGTGACCAGCCCAAAGTCACACAGTGGCCAAAGAAGAACTGGAAACTCAAGTTTCCTTGAACTCAGGACAGACCACCTTAACAGCTAACACTGCTTGTGCATGTGCCAATATGGATGTCCCTGTTTCCTCTCTTAAGGTTATAGGGGTGCTGCAACTTTGGCTCTGTCTATTGTTGTTCTGGATTAAATAAAGAAAAAGAACTGATTCCTATTACAGGAACAGAGGGAATGTGAGTGGAGCAACTAACTCTGGTTAGTTAAAATTCTGGGATGAAAATGTTTCGTCACAGCTCTACAAAGATTATTGTTCAAGGAAGAGATACTCCTCCCCTACTTCCCTGGATAGGTGAAAAGAGTTAGCCATGACTAATGTCTAACTGGCCACCACTTCATTTATCAGCATACAGTGGAGAATTCAGAAAGAGAGACAGCTCCTCTGGATGTAATTAATGAGCACTGCCAGTTTTAAAAGTGTTCAATCAACCTTCATATCAGAGGCCCTGTTCCTTGATCTTCCTTTACATAATGGTATGATGGTGAAAATCATATTGCCATTTCTACTGTATTAAAGCCATAACCCAATTATACATTCAACAAGTCAAGAAGTATCGAAAATTCTATTACACTGCTGTGGCCTTTCAGATGTTGTTGAACTGCAAGCACCCTTCACCTTTGGCCAGATCAATATCTGGAGGTCACAGCTTCCCTTCTACAAATGGTATCTTTGAATAGATTTACCCAAGCTATAGTGTATAACAGTTGTCTGTTTTGATGGCGTTTATTCTAAATACCAGAGAAGTTGAAGCTAAAACATTTTAAATCTGTTGACGAGTGGCTTAATTAGATGCTATCAAGTTTGGTCTTATCTCAGCTAACTGCAGACAAATGGTGGCCATCTCAGCCTGACACTAGTGATAATTCCAGGACATCCCAGTGATTTCTTTCTTCTTGTCCATTCACCTTTTATGTTGCCAAACATAGTCATGTTTTTCTAATTTATCATCTGCTCACATCACATGTACTAAGGATATGAGTTTCTGCTTACATATCATCACTCAAGGGAACAGTCCATTTTGATTTGGGACAGGAGAGATTGATTGGTTGTCCCTGCAGTTCATAGTGCTCTTGCAGTCCATAATTTGATGACATCTATCTTCCTTCTTTTAATCTTTTTCAACATTTAGCTTTCACAACCATAGATTACTACTGGAAAAATGCTTTAACTGTTCTGATAGAACTGTTTATAGAACTATCTTTATCTTTCATGATCTTATCTTGTCATTGCTTTCTTTCCTAGGATTGATATCTTCTTTGCTTTTCCATCACTCTGTCCATTTCTATCTATTTTTGAGCCCAAGAAAACAAAGTTTCACTGCTGGGTGAAATTGCCTTTGGCTTCTTCATATTTAATATTAATTCAGTTTTTTCACTTTCCACTTTTACTTACATAATGAGTTCTTCTAAATGATCTTTACTTTCAACTAACAAAATCATGCCAACAGCATATCTCAAATAATTAGTGGTTCAACTTCCAATTCTGACTCCAGTTATTATCCCTTCTAATTCTGCCATTTGCTCTATAAATTAAATGATTATGGGAGATATATGCATCTATATCACATTGCTTTTTCTATTCTGAACCATGAGTTTCACCAAACTCAGTTCTCAGAGTTTGCATGTAAAGAATAGTCTGGTGTCCTGGCACACCCATAAACCTTAGTATATTCTACATTCTGGCATTGTCTACACAATCAAATACTATGTAGTCAATAAAGCAAAGATAAATTGTCCTATATTCTTTTGATCGCTCCATTGTCCACCTTATATTATCTATCTGAACATGTATTCCTTTGCTCTTTCTGAAACCTGCCTGTTCATTTGCATTTCCCTCTCCACATAAGGCTCCATCCTTCCTTGTGGGATCTTAAGCTAAACTTTACTTGTGTGAGGAATAAAGATAAATTCTATTGTATCTCCCTTATTTGCTATGACTATATACACCAATCTTTTTTTTAATCTCTAGACCACACATTTTGTGGACAAAGCACTGTTGGAGGCAGTTGTTAACTGTCTTTTGTCCTGCAGCTTTAAACAGTTCAACAGGTATTTGACTTCTGCATGGTGTTTTACTATTTGACAGCTGATCTATTGCCTGTCATATTTCTCCATCTAGTGGAGCCATTTCCTGGATATATTTTCTCTCTATTAATATTTCTCTCATTCTGTATAAAGATTCAGTATAGTCTTTCCATCCTCTTTTAACCTAATTTGCTTCTGTTAAGATGTCTTATTATTACTCTTCAGTAGTCTTAGATTAAATCTGAATTTTCTTTTGT